TTTTAAGTTTTTAGCATACAAAATACGGTATAAGAATACAAACTGAACAAAACCGATAAATTGTCAGGGAGAAGCTCCCTGTTCCAAAACTGAACAAAAAGAAAAGACAGAACAAAAACTGTGGTTACACCAGAACACAACTGTATAGCTCATGGAAACGATCCAGGGTGTATCAACCTACTACAAGAGGTTTCTCAAACACAGAAAAAGCAGGGTCACTGTTGCATTTTTGGAGCTTTTGAGTCACATGTCCTTTTTTCACAGGTGCAATGGTGGCAAAAACGCAATAAAAGTGCAGCAATACCGCAGCAAAAAATTCAGCTACGTTTCTACCGCATTTTTGCAAAGGAGCAGTGTGAAAGTAGCCTTGCTTGGAAAATCCAGCAAAAATATCACAGAGAACAAAACGTTATAGCAAACCAGTGCATTTAAAGATGGCAAACTGCCACTGTGATTCCTCCAATGGTCTCCAAAATGCAACCTAGATGTGGCCCTTTGATTACTTTTATCTGGCCCTTTGGGCACTATTCCACCAACTGACACCATCAATGAGGCACTGTTCTTCCTACTATATATTCAAACAATAGTGCAGCGCTACCTTGCTGAATAATTAGTGTACTAAAAATTATATATAAAATAAATTAGTGTACCAAAAAATATTTTTAAATTAATAAATCCTAAACTTGTGATTATGAATCCAAAGATACTCTATATAATTAACCTAAATATATGCAAGTATATTAATGACCAAAACAATATAATTATCCAATCCTATAAAACAAAAACAATATATCCCATCAACAAGTGTCCAAAATTATATTTAAACGAATAGTTCTCCAATATTAATATATGGATTTGTTCCAACACATAGGACGGCTTCAGGATAATTGTTCCTCTATTATGCGCTTACCTCCTTATTTGCCTACTTAATATAGGCTGAAATAGCTGTTTGTCCTACAGGGACAGATGCAAATACTGCTGCTCCTGAACTCCTTCCTAGATGGTTCCACACTGCAATTTACTAATTATCCACCTGATGTCTCTCCAGCGTGTAGTTTCTTATGGTGGTATAAGGATGGATGGATGGATTTCCCCTTCTCACCTCCAGGAGGCTATTCCTCCTTGTATCCCCTCCAGGTCTCCACATACATGATACCAAAAGATAGTGCCTTATCCTTTAAAAACCTTTATTTATATAGCCAGTAATCCCACTCACATATTTAACAAATAAAATGCGCCTCAAACTTTGTGTGTGCTCAGCACAAATCTCGTACTCGCCGTGACAAGCCGACTTAGCGTGATGACGTCAGAGCCCCTCCCCTATGCGTTGCGCCACCGGTCACGTGGCTTCATCAGGGGGAATTGATTTTTAGGATTTATTAATTTAAAAATATTTTTTGGTACACTAATTTATTTATATATAATTTTTAGTACACTAATTATTCAGCAAGGGAGCGCTACACTATTGTTTGAATATATAGAGTTATTAACACTATTTATGAGTTGGTGTAGGGTGCTAGCGAACCTATTTGTACATATATATAATAATTATTTTTATTTTTTTTTTATGTATTTGACACTTTTTGAATTTCACCATATTAGCTCACAAGTAATTTTGGCACTTGACTGTTCTTCCTACTGCCACCAACAATGGGGTACTATTTCTTCTATTTAAACCAGTGATGGGACACTTGACACCAGAGCATTTTGTACTTCTACTGGCCACAGTCCGGCCCCCTAAAGCCTGAAGGACAGTAAACTGGCCATTTGCTTAGAAAGTTTGGAGACCCATCTTCTATACAAATGTCATTGATAGTTGCCTACTTAGTGCAATGGGCAATCTCACTAATAAAACTTGACAGAGGTTCTAGCTCTTCACCAACCCAAGGCTGCTGTTAGAAACCACTGGGCCCCATACAACCAACCTGACAGCCCCTTCCCCTCCACAAAAAGACACGATTTACTATGCTTTAGGTATGAATGAACACAGCGAGTGATCAGTACCAATCACTCATTGTGTTCAGGAAAGGAAGGGATTAATAATTGTGACATATTTACTGGACCCCTCCCCCACTCTCCATCCTGAAGGAGAATATTGTGTGATTGCAGCTGCCTGTGAGAAGGAGAGGAGGGAAGCCGGCAGCACTGGGGGGGTGGGGGCACACAGGGAGGCCTGAAAAACAGGGGGAAATGTATGGTGCACAGGGAGGGGGATGGGTGCACTGGGAGGGCAATTACTGGAACTTATCCCTCTTATGGCTCTCTCTGCTGCAGCTGAAAGCCAGCAGGAAGGAAAGGAGAAGCCATCCCATATGGAAGAAAAATATATTTGAAATATATTTAAAAAATATTTTTTCCAAATATATTGCCATATATTTGAAATGCTACAAATGTGGCCATATGCAATATATATCAAAATATATTTCAATAAATACATACACATACTGCATGTTGCAATGCATTTTTATTACAAAATATATGAAAAATATTTTTAAAAATACATTTCAAATATACTGTATGTCTTTAAAAATACAAATCTACATTTCTGGAATGTATTTACAAATATATGTAAAAATATGTTAAATATGACTTTTTTATATGTTAAAAAAAAAATCTGAAGAATATATTTAAAAAATACATATTTTTAAAAGTATTTTTTTTATATATTCTTCAGCTTTTTTTTTAACATATACAAAAGTCATTTTAACATATATTTTGACATATATTTGTAAATGCATTCCAAAAATGTAGATTTGTATTTTTAAAGACATTCAGTATATTTGAAATGTATTTTTAAAAATATTTTTCATATATTTTGTAATAAAAACGCATTTCAACATGCAGTGTGTGTATATATGTGTATATATATATATATATATATATATATATATACAGTGGGGATCGAAAGTTTGGGCACCCCAGCTAAAAATTTGTATTATTGTGCACAAAGAAGCCAAGGAAATCTCCAAAAGGCATCAAATTACAGATTAGACATTCTTATATGTCAACAAAAGTTAGATTTTTATTTCCATCATTTACACTTTCAAAATAACAGAAAACAAAAAAATGGTGTCTGCAAAAGTTTGGGCACCCTGCAGAATTTATAGCATGCACTGCCCCCTTTGCAAAACTGAGACCTGCCAGTGTCATGGATTGTTCTCAATCATCGTCTGGGAAGATCAGGTTATGTCAATCTCAAAGGTTTTAAATGCCCAGACTCATCTGACCTTGCCCCAACAATCAGCACCATGGGTTCTTCTAAGCAGTTGTCTAGAAAACTGAAACTGAAAATAGTTGACGCTCACAAAGCTGGAGAAGGCTATAAGAAGATAGCAAAGCGTTTTCAGATGTCAATATCCTCTGTTCGGAATGTAATTAATAAATGGCAGTCATCAGGAACAGTGGAAGTTAAAGCAAGATCTGGAAGACCAAGAAAAATATCAGACAGAACAGCTCGCAGGATTGTGAGAAAAAAAATTCAAAACCCACGTTTGACTGCACGATCCCTCCAGAAAGATCTGGCAGACACTGGAGTTGTGGTACACTATTCCACTATAAAGAGATACTTGTACAAATATGGTCTTCATGGAAGAGTCATCAGAAGAAAACCTCTTCTTCGTCCTCACCACAAAAAATCATCGTTTGAACTTTGCAAATGAACATATAGACAAGCCTGATGCATTTTGGCAACAAGTTCTGTGGACCGATGAGGTTAAAATTGAACTTTTTGGCCGGAATGAGCAAAGGTACGTTTGGAGAAGAAGGGGCACAGAAATTAATGAAAAGAACCTCTGTCCAACTGTTAAGCATGGGGTTGGATCAATCATGCTTTGGGGTTGTGTTGCAGCCAGTGGCACAGGGAACATCTCACGAGTAGAAGGAAAAATGGATTCAATAAAATTTCAGCAAATTTTGGATGGTAACTTGATGCCATCTGTGAAAAAGCTGAAGTTAAAGAGAGGATGGCTTCTACAAATGGATAATGATCCTAAACACACCTCGAAATCCACGGGGGATTACATCAAGAGGCGTAAACTGAAGGTTTTGCCATGGCCTTCACAATCTCCTGACCTCAACATATTGAAAATCTATGGATAGACCTTAAAAGAGCAATGCGTGACAGACAGCCCAGAAATCTCAAAGAACTGGAAGACTTTTGTAAGGAAGAATGGGCAAAGATACCTCAAACAAGAATTGAAAGACTCTTGGCTGGCTACAAAAAGCGTTTACAAGCTGTGATACTTGCCAAAGGGGGCAGTACAAGATATTAACTCTGCAGGGTGCCCAAACTTTTGCAGACGCCATTTTTTTGTTTTCTGTTATATTGAAAGTGTAAATGATGGAAATAAAATCTAACTTTTGTTGACATATTATAAGAATGTCTAATCTGTAATTTGATGCCTTTTGGAGATTTTTTCCATCTTTCCTTGGCTTCTTTATGCACATTAATACAAATTTTTAGCTGGGGTGCCCAAACTTTCGATCCCCACTGTGTATGTATATATATATATATATATATACACGTATTTTTTTTTTTTATTTGAAGTATATTGAATATGGCCAAAATTGTGGCATTTCAAATATATGGCAATATATTTGGGAAGATTATTTTTAAAATATATGTAAAATATATTTTTCTTCCATGTGGAATACAGGGGACTGGTACCAGTAATTGCACCTCCAGCCCCCCCCCCCCCCCCCCGTGCTGATCACTCTCCCTGCTCACATCCGATCCACCCAGCTGCCTGGGCCCCCGTGTGGCCTGGGCCCTGTACAGGGGACTAGCAGTACCCACTTATCCACGGCCCTGCTCCAACCTATGAGAAACTTAAAAAATGACATTCTGTGGTCAGACTTTAAGACTAGTGTAGGGTAAATGACACTCTGCATAACTTAACTTTACTTACGATTTATTTAAAAGCATGTACTTGCATGGAGTTTGTATTAGCATTATTAGTACTGCAATTCACAGCACAATTTGTATCCTTTATTTCTTTATAGATCTCCTGGACACTCAGCCACTCCAGGAAACAGATGAGGAATTAACAACTGAAGCTGAATTTGCTGAAATTATATCTGAGGAAGAGAAGGAAGAACTAAAAAATGAATTGGCAAAGGTAGTGTTCTCTTTCTATTGTGAGTCTAAAGGTATCGAAAATTTTTAGGTGATCCCTAATTAGGTGACTTAATTAAATGCAAAAATGTATTATACATTGTAGTTTACCAATTCCTAAATGTGATAGATGCATTCGTTTTGGTTTCTTTTTAGGGTTTTTAAAATGTATATTTACTTGTTGATCCAACCAGTAAGCCTGGTATTTTTTACCTTCTTTTACCAGACCAAGCTGTCCAGCAAAAATACCAGTTAGATAGTTGAGACAAAACCATTTAATACTGACGGGTGTTTTTTTACAATATTCCACATTTATTCATTAATGTAAAACCTGAATCCAAATGAAGGCTGTACATAACATTTATAAAGCTATCAAAAGGCAGCGCTGCACCACAGTGTGTGATTTATATCAGTGCTAAAACTCTCATAAAAATGTGTAAATTGCAATCTTATTCTACATATAATATGAAGCTAAATTCCTACATATATCAAAATGCCATTGTGCAAACCATACTAATCCCAAAATAAATAGAAATATGTGTGAAATATTTGCAATAAAAATAAAAAGTATATCAAATAAATAAAAAGGTCTGTGCAAATTCATATGTACTGTATGTAAACCATCCCGATATATTGAGTCAGTCCCAATTCACTAAATAAAGATGAAGTTGTTTCTTCTTTATTAATTCTTCTATCTGCCACCACACCAATGTGAAATCCACCACCAAAAATTATACCACTTACATTTTTTTGTAAAAGCTATGTAGACATTGGTGTTTTGACAGCAGTTGCTCTATTTCCTACCCTTGTGACTGTCATGAAAGAGCAGGGATTATGCAACCACCGTGCTGCTTACATGGCAGTGTGCTCAGGGCACAGAGTCTAAAGCAGTATTAAACCCAAAAGCCACCATTTATTATACTGCAGCTTGCCAATTCTTAGATCTGATGGCTGCATTCGTTTTCTTTTTTTTTTTTTTCCTTTATTTTCACCTGGTGATCCAGACAGTAAGTCTGTTGTTTTTCAACTGAACAAGCTATCCTACAAATGTAGCAGTTAGAATGATGAGACAAACCATTTATTACTGATGACGCGTTTACAATGGTCAGCTTTTATTTACTCATGTAAAACCTTTATTCCAAAAGGAAAAAAAAAACAACTGTTACTGTAACTGCTTGTGTAATTGGAGTGTGAGGTGGAGTTCAGATTTAATTTGTTAGTGTATCGAAATCTGCTACTACATCTAACACTAGCATCCCCCCAGATTAACAATGCCGCTGTCCAAAGGTGCCCCTCTTCGCTCATCCACAGTGGGGAAACTGTAAGGCTAGGTTCACAACCTATGCAATTTGCGTTTGATATGTTTCTGCAGTACTTTTTGCGCAATTTTGCCGTGTTTTGCGTTTTTTTAACTTGTTGCTGGGGGCCCGAACAAAAACGCATCAGAAACACACTACATGCTTTTCTGCAGCGTCTCCATTAAAGACAATAGAACCAACAACGCAATGTTTTGCATTTAAAAAAAGTCTCTGAGCCCGGGTACACACTGATGCTGTGCGGCACATCGCATGTGATTCACACAGGAACCGCACGGCATTCCTGTGCAAACTACATGCGATTTCTGTGCAGTGCAATTTGAGCAAAAAAAGCACCAAAAAACTGCAGGACCCTTTTTTAGTCGGCACCAGAGTCGGATCGCATGGGTGTTCACACCCATACAATCCGATTCTGCACATCGCACCGCATTTTGCTGATTTTGGGGAAGGGGGGGTCGTTAACTTAAAATTCACACCCGCAATGGTTTGTATGAATGGGGTGCGATTATGATACTGTGCGGAAATCGCACAGAAACCGGTGCAAATTCCACACCGCCTCAGTGTGAACCCAGGCTGACCTTTTTCAAAAAACACATCTGGTGAAAATGCGGAGATGTTAACCTGTCCCATAGGAAATCATGTTAAATGGACTGCTGTGTATTTCTGGAAAACACATAGGTGTGAACCTAAACTTAACAGATGTGTTACTGGCTAGATCACCAGGTGAAAACAGAGGGGGGAAAAAAAGAAAACGAATGCAGTCCCCACATCTAATGATTGGTAAACTTGGTATGATTAATACATTTTTGGTTTGGGGTTTAATAATGCTTTAAGGAACACCTGACTTTTACCAGAGCACCCCGCAAAGGGTAATGGGTTTCATTGCAGGGCAGCTCCCAGGTTGCGGCCCCAAGCACACTACAGCTAACCAGATTGAGAAAGGCACAAGAGTTAGGAAAGCACAAGAAAGTGGTTGAGTGCAGGGCAGGGGCGGACTGACAACTCATGGGGTCCCCGGAAATAGTGGATCATGGCGCCCCTGTGTCCTTGGCTAAACTCAAAAAAGTCTATGAAAAAGGTATCAGGGGCATCTCATGGGGCCCCCTACTGACCCCGGGCACTCAGGCAGTGCCCGAGTTTTCCAAATGGTCAGTCCGCCCCTGGTGCAGAGGTATCTAATGGCACCATGGTGCTCAGGGGTAGACTGACAACTCATGGGGCCCCCGGATAATAGGGGATCATGGGGCCCTGTGTCCTCGCCCACACTCAAACCACTCCCAAAATAGCATATGAAAGGTACCAGGGGCATTTCATGGGGCCCCCTACTGACCCTGGGCCATCGGGCAGTGCCCGAGTGTCCGAATGGTCAGTCCGCCCCTGATGGTGCTCGAATTACAGGAATGCTGGAGAATTGCACAGATGCTGGACTCACTGGAAGACAGGAGTGCACAGGGGCACAAATGAGCTGGAAGATAGGATGATAGTTGGAGTGCTCAGGAAACACACTGATGTAGGAAGGCTGGGAGACTCCGGCAACAGTGAAGAGCACAGAGTCACTGGCAATACAAGGCATAGAGATTTTCAGAAGATACTGGGGGTACAGGTGTCCATAGGAATAGGGTCTCAGAGGATATAGGTATGCTGAGCTCGGGTTGATGACACAGGGAACATACTGGAGCAGACATTACTCTGATACCCCTAACTAAAATCTAGTGGACCCAATTGCCTTCAGAAGTCCGCCCGTGTGAAATTTAATCTCAGTATAAATATAGCTGTTCTGTGAAGCCCTCAGATGTTTGTTAGAGAACATTAGTGAACAAACCGCATCAAGAAGGCCAAGGAACACACCAGACAGGTCAGGGATAAAATTGTGGAGAAGTTTAAAGCAGTGTTAGGTTATAAAAAAATATCCTAAGCTTTGAACATCTCACGGAGCACTGTTCAATCCATCATCCAAAAATGGAAAGAGTATGGCACAACTGCAAACCTACCAAGACATGGCCGTCCACCTAAACTGACAGGGCGGGCAAGGAAAGCATTAATTGGAGACGCAGCCAAGAGGCCCATGGTAACTCTGGAGGAGCTGCAGACATCCACAGCTCAGGTGGGAGAATCTGTCCACAGGACAACTATTAATCGTGCACGCCACAAATCTGGCCTTTATGGAAGAGTGGCAAGAAGAAAGCCATTGTTGAAAGAAAGCCATAAGAAGTCCCATTTGCAGTTTGCGAGAATCCATGTGGGGGACACAGCAAACATGTGGAAGAAGGTGCTCTGGTCAGATGAGAACAAAATTGAACTTTTTGGCTGAAAAGCAAAACGCTATGTGTGGCAGAAAGCTAACACTGCACATCACCCTGAACACACTATACCCACCGTGAAACATGGTGGTGGCAGCATCATGTTGTGGGGATGCTTTTCTTCAGCAGGGACAGGGAAGCTGGTCAGAGTTGATGGGAAGATGGATGGAGCCAAATACAGGGCAATCTTAGAAGAAAACCTGTTAGAGTTTGCAAAAGACTGGAGTGGAGGTTCACCTTCCAGCAGGACAACGATCCTAAACATACAGCCAGAGCTACAATGGAATGGTTTAGATCAAAGCATATTCATGTGCTAGAATGGCCTAGTCAAAGTCCAGACCTAAATCCAATTGAGAATCTGTGGCAAGGCTTGAAAATTGCTGTTCACAGACGCTCTCCATCCAATCTGACAGAGCTTGAGCTATTTTGCACAGAAGAATGACCAAAATATCCCTCTCTAGATGTGCAAAGCTGGTAGAGACATCCCCAAAAAGACTTACAGCTATAATTGCAGCGAAAGGTGGTTCTACAAAGTATTGACTCGGGGGCTGAATACAAATGCACGCCACACTTTTCACAGATTTATTTGTAAAAAAATGTTGAAAACCATTTATCATTTTCCTTCCACTTCACAATTATGTGCCACTTTGTGTTGGTCTAGCACATAAAATCCCAATAAAATACATTTATGTATTTGGTTGTAACATGACAAAATGTGGAAAATTTCAAGGGGTATAAATAGTTTTTCAAGGCACTGTATGTCAATCCATAGAAGTAAATGGCTGTATGCTCCTGTATGTGTGAAAATGTTGATGCTTCTGTGCATTCAGCGTTGTATGCATGTACAATGTATGAGGGTTCTGCAAAAAATTTTCACACTTTTATTTATATATATATATATATATATATATATATATATATATATATATATATATATATATATTGTATATGTTAAAAAAAAGTACAGGAACTTTTTGAAGAACCCTTGTATTTTCAGAAATGCAGAACTTTTGCATATGGGAAAATAAGCTTTGCATGCATGGGCAGGTAAACACTAATGTACAGAAGCATGTGCGCTTACATGATTACAGGAGTGTACAGCAATTCACTTCTCTAGTACGCCCCAACTGCAGCTCGCGGGGCACAAGAAAATGCAGTGTTTTTATGCTAGACATATTTTATGCCGAAAAATGTCTGTGTGAATGGGGCCTAATATGATAATTCTATATTAAGTGAAATACATAAAACAGCTACGCATTATGACATACAAAATGCAATCTTGTTTTGTCCCCTTTGATTGTTATTGTTTTTCTGTGTTTAAAGCTGGAAGATGAAATTGTAACTCTACGTCAAGTGTTAGCTGCCAAAGAGAAGCACCTGGCAGAGATAAAACATAAGTTGGGAGTCAGCATGATGAATGACCTGAAGCAGAACTTCAGTCGAGGCTGGCATGATGTTCAGACCCATTCTGCGTAAGTACAAACCTTGCTCTCCATGACCTGAGCAGCTTTACTTGCGTTTACAGTTGTATATTATCTGACGTGCCAGTTCCGTAAATCCATTAAAGCTGAAACTAAAACCATCGGGTTAACAGTCATTATTTATACATGTTTATATTCCTTTGTATTCCTTTGTAGACAATGCCTCTTGTTCCTGGGATTGAGTGTAACTGTTCCAAGCATTTAAAAGACCTCTACATTCTAGGCCTCATTCACATGTCGGCCATGATTGGGCCATGTCTGTGTTTGGGGCTGCTTACCTGTACCCACACTCCTGTCAAATTATGATGGGCAGCTGTGTCAGTGCAGGGGTTGCGTTCCCAGTGGCACTGAGTCCCATAGACAGTGAATGGGCCTTGTGTTTATGTGGCTTGAGTACCAGGTGCTACATGCAGGCATCCCATGCAACCCCTGGTTCACATCTGTGTGGGTGGTGCCGCTGCGGGACCTGCACAAATACCTGCAGCTGCACCACCCACACAGAGGAATCCGGTACCCACCGGCGGGTGCCATTATTTCTAATGGCACGCCGCTTGCACTGAAAATCGCAACCGTACTGGGAAAATTGGGTTCCCGTGCGGACTGCGATTTCCCAAGTAGTGCAGGGGCTTCCCTGCGTGTCCCAGGGCACGGGAGTCCATTCAACTGAATGGGCTCTTGTGCGCGTTCAAATTGCAGCCTGCACGACTGCACAGATGTGAACCCACTGTTACATGGGACGCCTGCATGCAGCACCTGGTACTCAAGCCACATAAACACACGGCACAGTCACTGTCTATGGGACTCAGTGCCATTGTGAATGAGGCATTAAATAAACACATGTATAGTGGTTTTATTTTTGTTTCACATATGCAAGGGTGCAATTTCTGTCAGTTTTTTTGCCATCTGTAGCCTTATCAAAGAGATTTCACTCCCCCCCCCCCCCCCCCCCCCCAGACATGAAATTAAGTCAGTGTGTAAGGAGATTACGAATGGCAGTGTATTGGCAACATGAACCCATGTCCCTGCCCTGCTTCTTCCTACCAGAACAGCAACCCTTCTGCTCGAAGCCTTAACCCTCCACCATATTGTGCCCATCTCCATGCCAGAGGCCTTCCCACGACATTCCTGGCCATTAACCTTTATATCTCAAGGAAGGAATCTCCACACAAAAAGATAGGGTTGCTGCATTTTACTGATGTTATGTTAAGATAGCATTTACAGTCACATTAACATAGACATAAATTTGGGGTCACTTGACAGCATGTCCAATCACATATAGTGGACGATCCACAACAGTTACATGTGAAAGCAGCACACAGCACATTTCTAGTAAGCCTTTCTCCCTCACTCAGTGTCTCTCCTTCCCAAGGTCATTATTACTGACTAAGAGGGCTCTGGTTTTCAGTTTGTGTCTAGCTCGCAACTCCTCACTTGTAGTCTCTTGAGACAGGGTCACTGCAGTTCACCTCTAACTTGGGTATACTTCTCCTAGGTCCTCCAGGTTAATAGCTTTACTCCAGGGAAACACTTGGCCTGGCCTAAAAGGCCTTTTGCAACCGGCTCTAGCCTCCATCACCATAAGAGCCAGCTCTTCTGGGTGCAGGTCTACCTCTCCTTGTCCTCCAGACCTGTCCAGGGCCTCCACTTAGCTGACCACATCTGCACACTGGTGTGGTCCAGGGGTGGACTGACCATTTGGAAACTCAGGCACTGCCCGAGGGCCCGGGGTCAGTATGGGGCCCCATGAGATGCCCCTGGTACCTTTTTCATAGGCTTTTTTTGAGTTTGGGCAAGGACACAGGGGCCCCATGATCTCCTATTGCCCGGGGGCCCCATAAGTTGTCAGTCCGCCCCTGGTGTGGTCTCTGGCTCCCATGCTCCAACTGCACTTAAACCTGGCTACTGGAGGGCTCTAGCTAAAAGGGAGCTAGTACCTGATTACACTATTCTCTGTTATCACACATTATTTTGGGACAGAGACACCTAGTGGCAGACTAGCTAACCACACCTGCTTACAAGTGGACAGCTCCAAAACTGAGGGGAAAAGATGTCACCATTGGAAGACACCCTTTTATCACTTCTACTCCTGTTCTGACAAGTAACATAAAATTTGGGATTTCCCCTCACTTTCAATTTCTCATATAATAGTCACTACAATCACTAACAGAGATGGGCGCAGACACAAATAAATCCTTACTCAGGTTCCAGCCTTGCCCAATTCTAAATTTGAAACTACTTCTACTTTAAAAGCCTTCCTGTCCTTAACCACCTGAGCTCCTGAAGGTTGTACTCCCTTCATGGCCAGGGCATTTTTTTTGCTATTCAGCACAGTGCTACTTTAACTGGCAATTGTGTGGGCATGCAACACTGTACGCAAATTCAATTTTTAGCATTTTTTTTCATCTTTCCTTTGGTGGTTTTATATGTTATTATATAAATGAAAAAAAAATAGTAAATTTTGAAAAAAAAAACAATATTTTCTCATTTTTGTTATAAAACATATCCATTAGAAAAAAAAACCAAATGTCTTCATAAATTGAGGCCAAATTCTGCTACATGTCTTTGGTAAATAAAAATCTCAATAAATGTATATTAATTGGTTTGTGTGAAAGTTATAGCATCTACCAACTATGATGTAAACAGGTGAAACTCGAAAAATTTGAATATCGTGCAACAGTTCATTTAATTCAGTAATGCAACTTAAAAGGTGAAACTAATATATGAGATAGACTCACTACATGCAAAGCAAGTTGGTTCAAGCCATGATTTGTCATAATTGTGATAATTATGGCTTGCAGCTCATGAAAACCCCAAATCCACAATCTCAGAAAATTTGAATATTGTGAAAAGATGCAATATTCTAGGCTCAAAGTGTCCCACTCTAATCAGCTAATTAAGCCATAACACCTGCAAAGGGTTCCTGAGCCTTTAAATGGTCTCTCAGTCTGGTTCAGTAGGAATCACAATCATGGGAAAGACTGCTGACCTGACAGTTGTGCAGAAAACCATCATTGACACCCTCCATAAGGAGGGAAAGCCTCAAAAGGTAATTGCAAAAGACATCGGATGTTCCCAAAGTGCTGTATCAAAGCACATTAATAGAAAGTTATGTGGAAGGGAAAAGTGTAGCAGAAAAAGGTGCACAAGCAGCAGGGATGACCGCAGCCTGGAGAGGATTGTCAGGAAAAGGCCATTCAAAAGTGTTGGGGACTTTCACAAGGAGTGGACTGAGGCTGGAGTCAGTGCATCAAGAGCCACCACACACAGACGGATCCTGGACAGGGGCTTCAAATGTCGTATTCCTCTTGTCAAGCCTCTCCTGAACAACAAAAAACATCAGAAGCGTCTTACCTGGGTTAAAGAAAAACAGACCTGGTCTGTTGCTCAGTGGTCCAAAGTCCTCTTTTCTGTTGAGAGCAACTTTTGCATCTCACTTGGAAACCAAGAACCCAGAGTATGGAGGAAGAATGGAGAGGCACACACTGCCAGATGCTTGAAGTCCAGTGTGAAGTTTCCACAGTCTGTGTTGATTTGGGGAGCCATGTCATCTGCTGGTGTTGGTCCACTATGCTTCATTAACTCCAGGGTCAATGCAGCCGTCTACCAGGAGATTTTGGAGCACTTCATGCTTCCTTCCGCAGACGACCTTTATGGGGATGCTGACTTCATTTTCCAGCACGACATGGCACCTGCCCACACTGCCAAAAGCACCAAAACCTAGTTCAATGACCGTGGGATTACTGTGCTTGATTGGCCAGCAAACTCGCCTGACCTGAACCCCATAGAGAATCTATGGGGCATTGCCAAGAGAAAGATGAGAGACATGAGACAGAACAATGCAGAAGAGCTGAAGGCCGCTATTGAAGCATCCTGGTCTTCCTTAACACCTCAGCAGTGCCACAGGCTGATAGCTTCCATGCCACGCCGCATTGAGGCAGTAAATTGCTGCAAAAGGGGCCCAAACCAAGTACTGAGTACATATGCATGCTTATACTTTTCAGAGGTCGGATATTGTTCTATGTACAATCCTTGTTTTATTGATTGCATGTAATATTCAAATTTTCTGAGATTGTGGATTTGGGGTTTTCATGAGCTGTAAGCCATAATCATCACAATCATGACAAATCATGGATTGACCTATCTTGCTTTGCATGTAATGAGTCTATCTCATACATTAGTTTCACCTTTTAAGTTGCATGACTGAAATAAATGAACTTTTGCACGATATTCTAATTTTTCGAGTTTCACCTGTATATACGCTGGAATTTACACAGCTATAGACGCTATACTGTAATGGCGGTGATCAGTGACTTATAGTGGGACTGTGATAGGCTGGTGCACAATCTGGCACTAACAGACACTATCTGGGAGGGTCACTAACTGACACTGTTTGTATTAGTTACACTAATACAGTGAACAGTGATAATACTGTACCATGACACTATACTAATGACACTGGCTGGGAAGGGGTTAACATCTAGGGGCAATCAAGGGGTTAACTGTGTGCCTAACTATGTCTAATGTTTGCTGCTTTTACTTTACTATCTTACAGATTTTCAGGGAGAAGAAACAGCCAGATCCCTGTATCCCTGTATACAGAGTTCTGTGTGTGTGTGATTGGACACAGCCGATCAGCTGATTACAGCTAAAATCATTGGCTGACATCTGCTGCCAAAGTTGTGCTGTGTCCAAACACAGCATGGGTTGGGTGGGGGACACATGCATGCGCACCCCGGACCTGGAAAAGGGCCCGTCGTACAAGTTCATGATTGTGCCTGTACCTGTTGCCTGCTTGCAGTATATCTACTGTGAGCAATCAGCAGGTGATAAAAATACATCCTGTACCTATAAATTGGTCTTAAGCCGGCCATACAGGGGTCAAATACCGAAAGAATTTTCTTTGGAAAATCTTTTCTAAGAATTTTCGTTCAAATTATGCACCATTAGTCGGTCACAGAAACGGCCGATTTTCATTGAATTTGAGTGATCAG